AAGTCCTTGGATCATCTCACTTTCCATGCTTTCTGGGCAGAAAATGAGCGATAAGTTCTTTCTAACCAGTACCTGACCTATTCCTATTCTCTTCTTCCTTCTCTTCACCTCCTCCTAAGCTGTCAAAGCTACTTGTGGGCATTTTTCATTACAATATAACAGCGCCAAAGGCTGTTGGAAAACTTTATTAGATGTCACAAAATATTCGAGAAAAGCATTATTGTATGGACGAAAATGAATATCTTGTATCTTACGAAGAGCTATGCCTACAGGTAGATTATCATTTTGCTGAGTATTTTTTTCCCTAAAATGTCGAAACAAATCAAGCTCAGCATAAATGGTGCATTAGAAGAAAATTGTTTTCCACCCATTTCTTGCTTTAACTAAACTAGACGGTTCAATGAAATTGTGTCAAGATTTTGCACCCAAAAAAAATAAAACAAGTTTCAAGACTCAAAACATGTTTACTTTGAATGGACTGCTTCTTGGTAGCGAGTTTTTCTAATCACAGTGTAATACAACAATAAGATGCGATTAAAGTTTTACTTAGAAGTGGCAATTTTTAGCACGATATGGCTATGCGACTCTAGCACGACTTAAAATTAATAGATTTAGCACGTTTCGAACATAAGTGGGTTATTACTGAATCAACTTGTTAATGACACGAATATAAGTGGGTTGAGTTGGGTGAATTCATAAGTTGACACGCACTAACTCGATAATTAAATATTTCCAGATCGTCTTCATTTTGTTATTTATTTTTCTACTATTTGTTATTATATCTCTCATGCCCGATTATGTATTGAAGCATTAGACTGGTTCTACTGAAAACCCCTGAACCTTGAATTTTTTTTTTTTTTTTTTGAAGACTTTATTACATATTATGCCTTTGAAAACTCTTATCTTAACGTTTTTTGGGTTGAAAGTTGATGTTGAAGTTTCGGAATTTCTTGTATGCTTTTAACTTTTAACACTTTATTGTGCATCTTTTCGTTGAAAACTCTTTAATAACAAGAATTGACGGGATTACCAAGGCTTGATGGGAATTTTGTACAATAGCCTCGGAATTTTCAATGACGGAGATAGATTTGATGTTGACAAGTTAACTTATAAATTCATAGATAGAGGACGGTGGTCACCACCAATGCATTAAAATTTGATGGATTAAAAGGTAAGGGTTGAATCTTTGTCTCCTATCAATTTGTCACAATTAAATTTGATCTTACTTAAAAAATCCAGACAAGTGCATAATATATCCGTCTGATCCGATGGTGGTTCAGTCCCCTCCGGAATTAGTGCAGGAAGCTATTGCACGCTCCTTTTGACCCAAAAAAATTTTTTTTTTTTAGGTTTGATGTTATTACACCAAAAGTTTATTCCTACTATTTTAAAAGTAGGAATAAGCCTAATTTCGGGAGACGCGCTCCAGATTTGTCCAAATTTAAATTTAAAAAAAAACTGAAACTTGCCCTCGTTTAATTTCTAAAATTAGTCTTTCTACCCGAAAAAAGAAGGAAAAAAAAAAAAGAAAAACAAAAGGCTGCTAAAGTAAAACAAGCTATATCATATAAATAATAGTATGTTTTGCATATGTTCTGTCGGTAAATAATAATAATAATATAATCCTATGAAAAGATCAAGAGGCTGTTGAGGAGAAGAGAAGACGCAAGCAGCAAGTAAAACAGGTAAAGAAACAACATGCAAGTGGCTGATCAAAATTTAGAGTCTTGTTGTCATCTTGATGGATCCAACTTCCAAGCAGATTGACAAAAGGTGATCATGCAATGCTTCTTGGAGAAATCTGAGTGCACAGGTCACTGTGCAACTGCTCCAGAACAAATGACTTCAATGGTGTAAGGTTCTTTCTTATTCTGTCAATGCTGCAGAAATCGAGCATGGTTAAATATTTCAGGAACTAAATAGAATTGGTTAAATTACGAGTCTAAAATGAATAGGGCTAACTGCTAACCTCTTGAGCCTCTGCTGACTTGCTAGATTCTTCAGCTTTGGGGTTGTCCTCACCTGAAACAGGGAATATGAGGTTAGGCCTTGCTTTGCTAGAAACCACAACCCCTCCCCCCTCCTTTCCTCTCTTTGAGGGGAAAATCTTAGTGTTATGTGCGTGTTCTCTATTGATATACACTATTTTGCAACTAAAATAAACGACTAGCAAGAAAGGAATGTGACATGTTTTGACAGCTGATCAGTTCTGACACCCTTCCGATCTAATATGAGCAGCAATTACAAAACCATCGAGGTTCTCAGCAGCATTTAAAAAATGTTCAAAAGGACAATGCCAAGAAAGTGCTTCAGAAAATGAAAGGTACAAGTAAGCTGTGGCAGAGAGTGAGTGTTGAATTCAATATTCAGGATATGTAATTAAGAAGATTTTGTACCTCCATCTTCAGGCAAATCAGAGGTCCAGAGAGTGAGATTGTCTCTCAACAGCTGCATGATTAAGGTGCTATCTTTGTATGACTCCTCGCTCAAAGTGTCCAGCTCTGAGATGGCCTCATCAAAAGCTTGTTTTGCCAAATGGCAGGCTCTTCAGGGTGATGCATTTATTTTTGTGTTAGTGAGACAGACTTAGATTTTTTGTCCAGGTCTTAATGAACGGAAACAGTATCATGAAATTACCTTTCGGGAGAATTCATGATCTCGTAATAGAACACAGAGAAATTCAAAGCAAGTCCAAGACGAATTGGATGGGTTGATGGGAGCTCCGTATTGGCAGTTGCAGAAGCAGCCTGACAATTACACGACAGAAAGAAGGCAAAGTAAAATGGATACTAAGTAAATTGTACAAGTGTGACAATAAGCAATCTGTTCATGAGTATAGGAAGACGATCAAAGTAAAGCTTGCCTCATAGCCCTTCAATGACTGCTCAGCGGCCTCTTTCCTGTCTTGATCAGTCTTAAACTCGGCGAGGTATCGGAAATAGTCACCTTTCCTGTAACGAAATACAGTAGAAAATGGAATCAGGCTTATCAGGAGATCAAATGTATGCTGTGATTAAAAACTCCTACGATCAAAGGCGATCAACATAAGTAGCCTAATGAAGATGCCCTCAGGGAGGGAGGGTAATTTGCAGGATTCGTTAAAACTGACTCACATCTTGTAGTAGAACACAGTGGCCTCTCCAGAGCCAGAAGATGGTATCAGATGCTTGTCAATGATTGTAAGAATGTCGCTGCAAATCTTTGAGAGTTCATCCTCAACCTTCTGGCGATAGCCTTTGATCAGCTTCACATTATGCTCATTTCCTTTAGATTCTTCCTTTTGCTCAATTGAGGACATAATGCGCCATGAAGCTCTCCGGGCACCAATAACATTCTTGTACCCGACGGACAGAAGGTTCCTCTCTTCCACAGTCAGCTCAACGTCAAGTTTTGCAACTTGCTTCATGCTCTCAACCATTTCTATACCACATCAAAAACAGAAACAAAATCAAATCCAAGCAAATCCGCGTTCCATTCAATCGATGAACCACAAATTATATCGTTGGCCTATTGGATGACGCAGTCCAGATCACAATTCATACTTCTGTGATAGAAGGAAGAGTGCCAATAAAACACTAATTCTAAAACACAGAATACAAATAGATCAATTTGGAGCTCACGAGAACTTTTCTTGGCTCAAAGACATTGCACATATTTGCCTCAGCCAGCAATAATAAAATGAGTTGGTAAGAACATTGACTTGTATAAAACAATTTCTCATTTTCACGTTGTTGCATGTATAGAAATGGAAAAAATAAAATAAAATGAACCAATCAATGGGAAAAAAATCAACTCGATATCATAAATTCATGTATATACGATGATGAAGCAATCAATAATACAAGGTTAGCAGCAGACCTTCGTAACGCTCGGCTTGCTCAGCCAGTTTAGCCAGGTAAACATGAGTCTCTCTCTCTTTTTCCGTCGACATTTTGGAAAGCTCTGAGGGGATTAACGACGGGAAAGGATTGATCGCTGCTAATCAAGAGAATGCAAGTTACAAAGCTCTTCGTTGAGGAACAAACATATGGAGAGGGAGAGAAACTAACGAAGAGAGCGTGAGAAATGGAAGGGAGGTTAGAGCCAAGTTTATATATGCATGGAGGGGAATGGGGAATGCTTGGTGGTTGTTGGTTCGTGAGAAAGACCAGATCTCCATCGTCGGATCAGGAGATCGCATGCAAGATGGAGAGCTCCCAAAATTGAAGGCCAAACTACATTTTAAGACATGTTCTTGACAAAATAAAGAAGTGTATTATAAGAAATTAAGTAGTAGTACATTATTATTATCAAAAAAAAAGAAGAAGAAGAAATTAAGTAGTACATTATTAAGGGAGAGGAGACACAGAAACACACACACACGTGCACTTTTGCTCTTTCTTCTGAGCCTTCTGATTCTGAGGGAATCTCTCTCTGAGTCAGAATCCCAATCCGCAGCTGGATGCCTGCCACCATTTTTATCTCTCAGGCATTTTCTTTATCTTCATCATTCTTCTATTTTCCCCTTAAAGTGAAAAAGAAATTGAATTATTTTATTTTACTGGCACATTTTGGACAATTATATTGGCCATTTTGGTTAATATTTAAACGCTAAGAACTTGTTTACATTTTTTTTTTTTGAAAAGTCGACAACAGTTTACTTTACATCTACTCCTATTCTTATTCTAGCCTATCTTAGAGAAGTTTAATTGAACCAATGGGAATTGAACCACACCGGCAGATCAAATGGAAATATGGACACACTTGATATATGTATATCTTGTCAACCAAAAAAGGGAAAAAAAAAAAAAAGAGGGTCCATGAGTGGCCTTCCTTTATTTCTCACAACACCACCTTAAAAAAAACTAGTGAATTCTTTTTTCTCATGTTTCTGTATAAAATTTCCCCCTTTTCTTTCATTTCATACTTGTATAAGTCAGCCAGAACCTTCTATTTCTACCTAAGAAAATGGTCTCAACCTTCACTCTCCCCTCAAAACAATTATCATCATGAACGCTATCTATGTTTCACGGATTAATTACCCTCAACAAATTTTTTTTTTTGTAGATTTTCTTTGTAAAAAAAAAAGGGTCTAAAAGTAATAAAAATAGCATTTGATTTTGTGCTTAGAGTTAAGAGTGATCAAACTAAATGCTCAGACCAAAGACCTTCCGTGAACCGCTGACCGCTCTCCTCCTCTCCTTCCACCATCACAACCTGAGACCCTTAACCACCGCTGCCACCACCTCCACCGCCACAACTCTTCCTCATCCCACCAGTCCCATAACACCAATAAACGAAGCCCACCTTCTCAGAGTCTGCACAATCCTGTACCAACAACAGAACTCCCCAGGCACCAAACTCCACAACAGCCTCACCAGCACCCCTTTCCACCTAACCCATGAATTTTTCCTCCAAGTCTGCAACAAATTCCCATATTCATGGAGACCCGTCTACAAATTCCACCAATTCACCCAAAGCCAACCCCATTTTCACCACACCTCCATCACCTTCAACAAGATGCTTGATGTCGTTGGCAAGGCAAGAAACATAGACCTTCTCTGGAACTTGCTTCAAGAAATCGGCCGTCTTCGGTTGGTTACTACTAAAACTTATATCATTGCTTTGAAAGTGCTAGCTTCTGCTAGAGAATTAAAGAAATGCGTCGAGCTTTTCCATATTATGAATGGGCTTGGATTTGTTTGCAGTTTGGATACTCTGAATAAGGTAGTTGAGGCTTTGTGTAAGGGAAAACTTGTTTTGGAGGCTAATCACGTTGTAGTCAAGTTGAAAGATATTATTAGGCCGAATTGGATTACCTATAGGTGGCTGATTTATGGTTTTTGTGATGTGGGGAATTTGATTGAGGCCTCAAAGTTGTGGAATTTGATGGTAGATGAAGGCTTTGAGCCAGACATCGATACAGTTGAGATAATGCTGGAGACCCTTTTTAAAAATAATAAGTTTGGTGATGGGATGAAGCTTCTTCAGTCAATGAGGGTGAAGAGGATAGACGATTTGGGGGTGTCTACGTATCGGCTTGTGATCCACTGGTTGTGCAAGAAGGGGAAGTTGGCGGAAAGTTATGTGGTGTTTGAGGAAATGCGTGAGAGAGGAATTAAACCGGATAATGCTACGTTGGGGTCTATAGTTTATGGGCTAATGAGTAGAGGAAGGGTGAGGGAGGCTTATAAGGTTGTTGATGGGATCGAAGAACCGGATATTAGTGTTTATCATGGGATGATCAAGGGGCTTTTGAGATTAAAAAGTGCAAGTGAAGCAACACAAGTGTTTAGGGAGATGATAAAGAAGGGCTGTGAGCCAACAATGCATACGTATGTTATGTTGCTGCAAGGACATTTGGGGAAGCGAGGGAGGAAGGGATCTGATCCGTTAGTGAATTTTGATACCATTTTCGTTGGGGGTTTGGTGAAAGCAGGGAAGTCTTTGGAAGCAACCAAATATGTGGAGAGAGTGATGAATAGAGGACTTGAAGTCCCAAGGTTTGACTACAATAAGTTCTTGCATTATTATTCCAATGAAGAAGGTGTGATAATGTTTGAGGTGATGAATAAGAAGCTAAGAGAGGTTGGGTTGTTTGATCTAGCTGATATATTTGCTAGGTATGGGGAGAAAATGGCAACGAGGGATCGAAGGAGAAACAGAACAGTTGAGCCAATTGAATAGAGTTGAAAGAGTACGCTTTTTACTGGCTTGTTATGTGTAAAGGCCATTTCAGATTGTTCTTGAAGGTCAAGTTAGGAAAGTGGATCTGGTACGGTGGCTTTTGAAAATATGTTGCTTGAACTGCAATTCCCATTTTGCAGATGTGGTACTCCTTGTACAAAAAGAAATACCCCATTTCTGGCCAGCTTAAGGTCGCAGGTGGATCTGTTTCAAGATGGAGTAATATAATTGATGTGGAATCATATACGCATACAAACTCGTTGAATCCATTATCAAAAAAAGAAAAAAAACTCGTTGAATATTAAAAATTATGGGCTGCCAAGGCGGTATGGATATGAACATAGCATCTGCAAAATGTAAGTCTTAAAATGGTTTAAAGACAAAAAGGCAAGTGTTGATGAAGACGTTGGATGAGGCTTTCGCATTTATAACATTGAATCTTACATTTCACTGCTTGTAGCATTCACTTTCACTCGTGGAAGTTGTTCGTTACAAAAGACAAATCAAATTACAGAATCAATGAAGCAATATGAAACCACAAGGAGAAAAAATTAAGATGGACGAATAACTACAGATTTCTTTACCAGTGAGGGGGAAAAAGTGGCAAAAGAAAAGAAAAGGAAAAAAACTTTCTTTGGGCTGGGGGCTACCTCAGCAAACCTTCCTCTACTCTACAGCTTCCAAAATTGTCTGAGCCATCTTCTTGGGGGGGGCTACGTTTTGATCCATCGGAACACCAAGCAGATTCGTGTAATCAGCTTTTTTAAGGCTCACGCCCTGGTATACAATAAATAGGATATAATGGAAACACCATAGGAACTATTGAGTTGTAAAGAAAGACAGAAGATTGGAAAGCGGACAAAAAACATTGTTCTATGGCTGCGCCCGCACGGCAATTCAGATGCTTGATTGGGCACATGCGTAAAAGCTTGACAAGAAAAACTCATTATTGAAAAAGGGAAGAGATCAAAAGAGGACTTACCAGATCTTAAAAACGCCTGGACGGTAAGAATACTGGGATATCTGTACCAGGTATTCATTTTCTTAGAAATGGCTTTTGGCATAAAAGTAAGCGCTGGTCACTGCCGTTCTCAAGATCAATTACTCTGGCCTCCCAGCGAATCTGTATAGCTAGACTACGTGCTTTTTCTATGGGGCCCAATTTATCAGAAAGAATAACCCACCCCTGCAGCAAGCAATTATTGTACATTATATATCAGTCAGTCACACAGTAGAATAGGAAAATATGGGCACACGAGCATACACACATGTATAGGTCGAATTTTCGTAGCTGTCTTTGAAATGTGAATGTGTATAACCATATATACATGTGGAATTGTAACTCCAAAGAAGCACTTCATATGTTAAACACAACCTCCATAAGAAATTGACTCGGTAGGACGTATAAATAGGCCTGAAAAAAAATCAGGGACATTTAGTTACCTCAGGGCGTAGGATACGGTCCATCTCAAATAGTAAATCTATCATACTGCATCCTTGTGAAGCAATGTGTGAGAGAAGGCCATTGGCATGAAGCAAGTCATACGTCCGAGGATATGTAGGAAATGGCTCACACCTGCACTAATAAAGAACATCATATAGACAAGGACATATTTTTAGAAATGAAGAACATGACCAGAAATTTTTGGACACCAGAACAAAGTAAAAACTGCATTAAAGATGAGATGAAGCAAAAATCCAGCTTGAACATGAAAATGATTTACTTTTTCCGGATTCAGTTTCCACCAGACTGTGGAAACGGAATATGTTTTCAGTAACTCTTGGATTGTCATAGGAATAATTTTTCCTATCATCTACAGTGCATCAGCATGACTTTCCGGATATACCGAACATTTTTCACCTCATCATTGGAGATGAGTTGACAAAACTCAATATTGAAATCCAAGAGTACTAAATCATCCCATATATTCAGAAATGATAGTAAGTTCAGGCAAAATTTTCAACAAGTATCTAAGTGCTCTTAAAATTCAGATTATACCAAGCCTTCTTTAGGACAACTTGGTTTTCTATGTATCTAAGATAGCCACAGCAGTGCTATAAAACTATCATTTGATTTTTAGATCAAATAGTTTTTACCAAGAGTCCTGTCCTAAAATCTTACCAGTCATGCCAGACACCAGCAAAACCCTGATCAAGGATGAGAGCTAATGTATCTTGTGCTCCCATTGGCACAACATTCATCACCCAAACTGATTTCCTAGCTTCGAGTAATACAGCATTTAGACCCCCAAAATGAGCATTCATGTCCATCACATTACGAACCATATTGTATGGAGCTAATGGATCTTCATCACCCGGCCTTTTTGGATGATCAGAAAATATCAAAGGAGAGAGCAGAGTCCAATAGTTTCTCAAAGAAGCTCTCCAGAATTCCAAGTCTTCAAAAAAATCTTCAGGATGAACTCCTGTTAGAACAGATTTATCAATAAATTGAATATTTCAAAACTAAAACATAGAAGGTCCCTGTAGAATAAAGTACATGGATATAAGTAATAAAAAATTGCATAACAGCTACAAGATCATATTGGTATAGCACTTTCCATGAATTTCAAGTTTTGTGGAGCTTAGAGAACCAGAAGATCTGTTTTGAATGGGATTCCAACGCTTGCTGTTTTTTCCATTTATGCAGTGTGACAGTGGGTGGTAATATGGCTGGGTGTCCTCTCCTTTGCAAAGAGGTACTTTCTTCTGCCTGCTATATTGAAGAACCAAGAAATATTGAGAACAAATAAAAAAATTATAAAGGGTTAGGGAGAATGAAAGTTTATGATTTGTTCTTAGGGGCAAAAAAGGAAGGCTGGGGTGGACAAAGGAGGGAAAATTTCCATTGGACAATTATAATAAGAAGCAAACACTTCCAAAGGAAGATCTATCCAATACTTGAAAAGCATGATTCCAGGATGTAAAATCAGCTTTATGATTGACCTCACCTTGATGTGTAGCATAAAGCATCGGTAGTCTTCTGCCAGATGAATGTTTCTTCTTGCTCTGCTAACAAATTCCAACAAACGTTTTGGGCAAATTCCTCAATTGGAGTTGACATGCTTCCTTTTTTGGGATTCACAGAACTTCCATACTGCCTGCTAATTTGTGAGGTTAAAACAAAGTAACCTCCAGGCTTAAGCATACGATCAACTTCGATAAGAAACAATCCATCTGAATCATGAGAAACCATTATATAAATGAATGCATATTCGCAAAAGATCATATATCAGTTACTAATTGTGTAAATGGATCAGTTTATAAGTAATTTCAGATACAAAAGGTACATGATACCATTTTGCACATACTTCTATCAAGCTTAAATCATGGAGCTTTCCCATTTGAGTTTACACGTCATCCAAAGCGACTATTCTTCCAAGCACCCTAAAGCATAAACATTAAAATACAAATTCCAACCAACCGTTTTGCACCTCAGAGGAAAGGTTGCAGTGACATGTTTTTCTTCTAAGACTAAAACATAACTCAAGATTTAATACAATTCATTCTGCATCAAGCTCTAATGCTTTCCACCAAGTAGAATGTCCATAGCTAAGTAGAGAAAAAACTATGATAAAATTTGCTCTCCAGAACTTTTAAATTTGTAGTCCTAATTCCGTGTACAACTCTAAATGATACGTTTCAGCTACAAAGTTTAGAATATCTGAGTAAAACAATAGCATCAAGTCAGGCAGCAAGAGACCAGAGAAACTGCCAAAAAAAGAAATCCCAGTTGTGTTGTCCAGTTATCTTAATTTCTGAACTGAGGATGCATAAAGCTGAAACAATAACAGAAACCGAGGATCATAATATTAGTCAGAAGTGTAATAGAAAGATCAGAGTATATCTCTGTACAAGCAGTTAAGTCTGTTTCAGTTAAGACAGATGACAGAAAAAACGTTGTCCTCCAAATAAGCCAAAATTAACCCCATACATTATATCATGGCAAGTTGCTAAAAGAAACTTCCAGGTTGCGGTGTTACCTTTATCATCCCACACAATACCACACTGAGAACAGTGAATCATGTCATATGCTAGTGATGGAAACGGAAGTTGTCTTGAAATGAAGTTGCCAATAATCGCTGGAAGACCTCTCTCAAGGGCTAATTGGACTTGGCTACCCATCAGTTCATATGATGCTACACAAACAGCCATTATATTGAGGGAGAGTAAATGAGACCCAAAGCTTCCGAATCCACATCCAATATCTAAAACAGTGCGAACCTGCAATTTAGCAGAATGAAACTGTTAAACACAATAAGAAGTCTGCTATGATCTTAGATAGCTATAGTTGCTATTGAGAGAGATGTCTAGAAGTTCAACAAATGCTAGTCCCTCAGAGGAAAGAGAGAGAAACCAAAAGGAAAATACATTCATCATAAAAGCAAGACTTACACCAGCTTGATGGAATTCAGTATCACTAGTGAGTCCAATCATTTCTGCTATGAGGTGGGAATAGTCTTGGACATCATCTGTCCCATCATCCGAGTGAAAAGAAATTTGATTTTCTTCAACTAACATTAGCCTAGAAAAGTAGCAATAGATCAAATCTAAGGAAACAAAAGCAGACAACAGCAGCAATATCAAGACAGAACTCAAATTTGATGTTTGTACGACACACTGCAAATAAAGGTCTGGTTAAGTTGCTAATCAGATCATTGTGTGACAATGCAATAGCATCAGCTCAACAAGGTACTAAATTTAACAGCTTCAAAGCTTTATGAATATTGATAGATAAAAGTTACCTCTTTGTCCTGGTACCAGATGAAAGAAACTGGTCTTTGGACAATTTCACATTTGCACTCCAAATCACATCCCTCCCTGTAGGCCAATTCAAAGGAATTTTGTAGTCCTTGGGAGGACGAACCAAACAATGCTGTCTATCTTGCAACACTTCACAATGCCGATCAAACTCCTCCCCATCTTTAAATCCAGCTAGCAAATTTGCAGATACATTGTAACAAGGCACATAGTTTTCTCTATCCTTTCCACAAAGACTAACTTCTATCCTATTAGCCCCAGCAGAAAGAGTCCTCAATTCCAGATAATCATTGGTTGCTTGCTGTTTTAACTTTCTGTAGGTGTCAGATTTTGCCACAGAAGTCACAGATTTCAAGGCACTTGAAGAAGAAGACCCCAATAATGCGATTAGCACAAGGACAATCACAACACATAAAAGCAACCAATTAAGTGGTGGTCTAGGCCCAAAGACGATAGAAATTTTCTTAAACCAAGGGCTTCTCATATCCAAGTTTTGCTAGCCCTTCTATCAAAAATGCTGAAAAATTTTTTTACTCCACAGAATTATTGCTTCAGTTTAAATCTCCTCGACCTACGAAAACAATGCCCTATCATCGTATACAATCTCCTACATATATTTCCTGATGAAAACCAGGCAATTCCAACTAACATTGGAACAACTCAAAGTTTGAGCCTCCTTTAAACCATAGAAATTACAAATCAGTCCTATTCCTCTGATCAATATACCGGCAGCAATGAAGGAGACCATACCACAAAAACCAACCCCGATGCCTAATTCAATACCAATTTCCACTCCTCCAACCAGGAAAAACAGGAAATATGCCAACCAAGAAAAGAATTCTGACTTCTCGACCAACGAGTATCCCAAAATTCAACAATTTCACCTCCCAGATCAACCTGCAAAACCGCACAAATTATCACGAAACCGCCCAAAAAAAGGAACTTTATCAAGTTAACAACCACAATTAAAACCCATTTCCGGGACCCACTTCTCAAAGAAAGAGAAAATCAGATCCCAACCCAGATCAGATCCACAACCGACAATGCCAAAGAATCATCAGCAGGATTAAAACAGCAATGCAAACTTAAAATCAAGCAGAATTAATCAAAAAACGACAAAAGGTTCCATTCATTTTCACCTGGTCGTTAAACTTAACGTATATATTTGATTGATTGACCGTTGAGAATGCTAAGCAGAGTTGGGATTGGCCATTGACAAATGGGTTTTTGTGGGCTGCTCTGTTTTTCTCTTTCTTCTCTATTTTTGGGAAGAAATATAAATACAGTTACAGCCAACTGTTGTTCTTGCAGTAGTGGAAGTATATTTGCACTAGAGTTGTAGCATTTATTTTCAGATCCAAATGCTCAGGCTCGCACAACTAGAGAGATAGATTACTAGAGAGACAAAACACCGGACTCATTTCATTTAATGAAAGTAGAATCATTGATGAATTTGAGAGATTGTAGTCTTTTGTCTCTCGTATTTACTTCTTACCATCATCTTAATCTTACCCTTCCCCTGTTGGAGCGTCTAGGGCCTTTTTTTAATATATATAATTTAGATTTGCTATTTTGGGTAGTGTGTGATATATATATATTTGTTTTTAATATATATATATATATAGAGAGAGAGAGAGAGAGAGAGAGAGAGAGGGTAGAATGTATATGTTGGTGTTTATTAAAAAAAAAAAAAATACTTGTAAGGTACTCTTTGATTTACACCACCCAATGGTTTACATTAGTTATCCATTACTCCATGTTTGAGTTTCAGGATGTTGAACTCATTACTCATCACGCTAGTACTCAATATTAAGATTATCGATCCTACCCGTAAAGATTACCACTTTTGATTACTAATTTTTTTAATTTTAGTATCACTGGCAATGTCGATAAATATTATTTTCGGCACTATAGAATTGGCCGTGATTTAGTGGATCATGCCTTGTTTTGATTTTATTATGCTCGATTGGATTGGATGATAAAGAGAAGGAATTGTAAGTAGAAGGTCATGAATTCAAAACCTTCTGTTTATTGAAAAAAAAAATAAAAGAAAAAATAATAATACTACAACTAAAATAGTTGAGAAATAATGGAATTTCTTCTTACTCATAGAACCAGTAAGCCGACCATTTTATGACAAAGTATTCTTCGGATGACGTGGGGATTTTCCTTTCCTTGTTTAGTTTTATTTGTGTATATTATTTATTTTTTTATAAGCGGGATGAGGACTTGTTCAGCTAATTGGATTAATTAATGTTGTTAATTTAGGGCTTTATTCTTGTTGCAGCCGTTGAATGTGCAAGTGAACTGTGGCCTAACAACGGTCATGATGCCAATTGGGGGTTATATCAAAAGCAAAGTGATGATGATGTCCCAATCTTAATATATAAACATCTTTCTCATACGATAAGTATGATGTGACTAGTTTATTTGTTTGGATTACAAAAATTGGCATTCTATGGGAGTCCTTTTCTGTTGTAATTGTCCATTATTAGAAGCCTAAACCACCCTATTCACGGATGGATAATATACCTATCAATTTCAAAAGGAAAAAAGAAATGGACAGGAATAGTGACAAGTGAAATTTTGGGTAGGGATATTGTAAATGGAATCAACTTGTGTTTCAACTATAATTCGCTCATTATTGGTAGATAATTGTGAAACTACTTATAAACAATTTACCGGTAGGATTAGATAAGGGATGATTTCAGAAACCTCTCCTGAGGTTTTTGACTATTTCACTGATTTCCATTCAGATTTTGAAAGTTATATTAACCACCCTTGAAATTTATTATCCTATAACATTTAGGTTTAACTAACAATTAAAAAATGATATTAGGAGAGAGAGAGATAATATGATTCCATTATTGCCTCTGATCTACTAAAATGTTTAATTAATTTAATACGAACCCAAACATTAAAGAAAATTTTAGAATTTGCTATTTATCATCAGGCATTAAATCACATATGGCATCAAAAATAGCGTATCATTCTATATATTTCATTTAATGTAAGATCGAAATTATTTTTTTCAGTTGCAAATTCATTGTAAAACAAGATCAATAACAAATAATTAATAAAATTTATAATCAAAATATTACAAAGAGCATCCAAGTGAGTTTGAGAGCATTCTCCCGGTGAGCGAGAGAGAAAAACCCTAGTTGTTGGGTATGAGCTATGAGCGGGTAGACGAGCTTTAATACCATGAAAAAATCAACAACTAACTTCTATATGTTGACAATAATATTTATGATGTTAAAGTTTGTTCTTTGTAATATTTCGGTTGCAAATTTTTTGACTATTTGCTGTTGATCGTATTTGACAATGGGTATGCAAATGAAAAGAATAATTTGGATCTTATATTAAGTGAAAAATATAAAATGATACGCTATTTTTGATGCTATATGTGATTTGATACCTAATGATAAATAACAATTTTTTTGTGTTTTTCTTGAATGTGTGGTTTGGTATTGAATTAATTAAATAATATAGTAGAAGAGGGGCAATGATCAAATCATATTATCTCCTCTCTCCTAATATACTTTTTAATTATTGATTGAGTCTAAATGTTACAAGATAATTAAACTCAATAAAGGTTAGTAGAATCTTTTGAAACCTGGAGAAAGACCGGTGACAAAATGATAGCACTTGCTTACTTGTCACCTCTTTTCTTCTTCTACTTGTCACTAGCAGTTGCTTGGTATTTATTTTTTTTCCATCGGCTTTCGATCCGGTTCTGCTACATCCGGACAGATAAAGAATGTGCTGTACCGAGCTTTAGCCGTCCATCATTAATCATTGAAATTCAGCAGAATAAATTGCTGTCTCGGAAAAACAATTCAAAAATCAATGGCCCGATATCACTTTTGTTGCCAACAGCCCCAAGAGGCCAAAGACACCTTAAGTCTTGGGATGGGAAGGTGGGAGGTCAAGGGTTCAATCCTTGCCTCCCACCAAAATACTCTACTAGCACAAAACTTCACAGCATGGACAGCAGCACCAACCCCTCCACAAGAAACTAGGTATTGTTCGATTTTCCTTCAAATCACAGCAATACTAATGCTGCAACTAAATGCATTCGTCAAGGGGAATGATGGTTTCTGGGTTGGTTGGTTCAACAAATCCGTACCTCTCTAACACATTTTAAGTATAATTTAACGTATTAAGGAACTTTGATGCCTGATTGGTCACTTTCTGCAAGAAACTGGGGTTTAACTCTTTCGTTAGCTGCAGGTAACCCGGCTTCGCCAGCTCTGACTCCAAGAAGACCCAAAGGCAAATGAGCTGTGTGCCATGTGTGATACGGCATATTTAGGAGACCAGCAGTAAAGTTGTATAACACAAATAGTAGTATATAGTTAGTGTCTATAGGGCCAAAATGGGGGAAAGAAAAGTACAAATAAGGGGGCTACGAGTCAATAATACAGTACAAGATTATGCCTGGTGATTAGGTGAAGTTGCACAATAAATCACATTCCCCGTTCCCAAAATATGATGACACCAATGTATGCATGCATCGCTTTCATACAGCCCAAACCTTAGAAACTGTTGCACACATTTTTATAGTCACACTCCATAGAAAACCTATTGGAAACTCTGAAGAATACATCATTTTGACAGGATCTTCTGTCTTGCAGCTTTCACTTATCTAGGGTGCAAAACCCAATAACCAGCTTCGTGATTACAAATAACTAAAGCAGACGCACCTATGAAGGTTTCTTCTGACCTCTGTTTATATGGAAAATGGGAAATACTGTTGGGCGCCACGGAACAACTTAACCAACGCGGGCTCATTTCTGAAGTTGTCTAAGAGATTGATTATATGCCAGTTACTTCTTCATCAAGTACCTAACTCTCTATTCAAATAATCCGCAAACATCCTCTTTGCACTATCAGCATCGGAAGGTGGAGGAGGACCACTTAAACTTGATTGTCCTGTTAATTTTATGAAAGTTCGCCGCAGCCTACGTAACTCAGGTAATCCAACTGATCTTCCTATATGGATGTTCGGTAAATCTGCCCCAAGCGACACGCTGCTGATAGGACCCCCCAGTGCTTTGGACTGGGCTTCTACTATGACGTTGATCACTTCTTGTGTAGCCTTGTCCATCTCATAAAGAGAATTAGCCTCTGACGAGCGAGCATTTTGAGTTGCAATTGTTGGCTGTAAAATTTTAACATCCCTAGTTTTTGAGTCAACCTTTTTTGTCAAGTAGGAAACAGCTTCTACTATAGCATCAGAAGACTTTTGAATTCCGTCTCTAGAGGGCCATAGCTCGAACAATGGCGAATCCCACCGATTTCTTCTATCTGGTTTCTCAAACCTCCTAACCAAGTCTTCAATGATTCTATCATCATATGATGGTTCTTCTCTCTCCCGGCGCTCTTGATTCCATTTTCTACAGCAGGGCTCCTCAACATCACAGAAGAGCACACAATATCTAATTCCTGTTGAACGGGCCAAGCACCATAGCTCGTATCTGTAACCCTTTATGCTGTTTAAAGAATCCACTATTATGATGGTATCTTTGGACACAGATCTATCGACTTCAGATCTAAGTACCCCCCTCAAATTCTTCTCAGCAGTCATGTTAGCATAACTTTGATTGCGATTAAGATGAAATGCAGTTTCATCAATAATCCGGACAGAAGGCTTTGATTCTGTGTCTTTAAGAGCTTCAGCCAGGCAACTGGCAGCAGTTGACTTCCCACTACTTGGTTGACCACATATAACAACCAATGCCATCCCAATAGAAATGGACGTGCTTCACTTCTCTTTTCCTGTATCTGTTCAAAATAAAAGAGTACATTCGAGTAAAATTGCATGCATTAAGGAAGTTCCACTTACAAGTTTACAAAACTTGGAAACAAGAGGACTATATACTAGAAAAAAAGCTTTTTTCTAACGATAGGATCTCAAACTTGGGGTGAACTAATAGCACCTACAACAGTCAGCACCTAACAATCTACAGTTCATAGGACAAGACTCGAACTCCATACAAACCACACTTTCAGAAACACTTCCAGACAAAGCTCCCTTTTCTCACAGTACACAGTATTGATCAGTTATAGCGTCACTTCCAACCCCCCCTTCTCTCCCCTCGCCTCCAAACCTCTCAACCTTCCAAAAAAAAAAAAACCACATTTCATCCCGATAAGCAACAGGAGTTTCTTGCAATCAAATGACTTGACGCTTAGAATATCTCCATACAAGAATGTTGTGTGAAGTTATGACCTGCATACACTCACATTCTCAAGGGTCCTTCAACGTGTTTCCTGTATCAACTATAAGTTATATCTCTATCATTTATCCATTAAATCATAAGAGAATTAAAAAAAAAAAAGATGCGTTGTATTCTTGGACCATATTGTCAGCTAAAATCTTACAATGACTTTGTAACTGCTCCCCTATGTCAATTCTCTTTATCAAAGACATGATATTGTATGCCTCCATTTTTTATCACCTCTACTTCACACAACACCTCTGGCAGTTAAAATTCAGAAAGAATTTTACGCCCTCAAAAAGATCGTAGAACAATCCACAAGTCTACTACAACATTACTCATATTTAACTAATCAAATACATAATCTTTACCCCCCCCCCCCCCCCAAAAAAAAAAAAACAACTTACTAAAACGTTAGAGAAAATATGCGGTACAATTTTTCTAGTTTCATGTCGCATGGGATTTTTCTGTTCCTATTATCTCCCAAAACAGGGGGATGGGTAAACAAGAAAGAAAGTACTTCAAAATATTCACACACAATTCTAAAATTAAAACACTTTGCGTTCAAAGCACAGAGCATTAAACTTGATTTTAACCTTCTTTTCCAAAAAAGAAAGAAATTTTCAGATATGTATTCAAATGACATTCTATCAAGCATTTGGTGGGCTGTAGCATAAAAGCTGAAAAGATTCTCAGCAAAGAGGACGAATGAAATACTACGACCACTAATGAGGTAAATAAAATATAACGGACGAGAATAATAGATTCTATACCAGGGGTTGCAGCGGCCCTCGGGGAAATCAGTCTAACACCGGCAGCAGCCCGCAAGGAGGTGGTCTTGGTTTTGAAAAAAGAAATAGTTAGCCGATGAGTTCTAAAATTTGATTCTTTCAATTTCTATGCCACCGGATCCTAGAAAAGTGTTGTGCAAACGCATTCTTTTGAGAAAACGGAGAGGCATTATCCCGAGTCCTATCCTTAAAGCGCAAAGAGAAGAAAATTTAGCACGCGCTTCTTGTGTAACTCTGAGCGAGACCCGCCAATTTGAAGAATGTGCCCTGAGCAATAAAACAAATTTTTTTGGCTCATAATTATCATTATCATATTATGCCATTATCCCATATTACTGTAATTACGTAACTATTGAATATAAAACATAATTTTCAAGTGAAATATTTTCCATAGATATTTTCCCAGATACTACTGTGGTTCTCATATTTGACTATAATTCGTGGTTTGCTACGATGACTTTTGTTACTCAAGGAAAGGGCTTTTGGGCCACTGAAGTTGATACCAAAGAAAGATTTGAGAACATTGCATTATTGGCTTTAATTTCAGTATTAAGATAAATAATCGTTAACAAAACATCGTTAAAAATCTAATATTACACGCTGCAGAAATACTACTACATATAAAGTTAATAAAGAGATTACAAGATCCTGTATGCTATATTCCTGAAATTGAGCCAAGCAATGAGAGCAAGGATTGATGGTTTAACCAGTTTTGACCCCTATTGCTGCTGCTCTGTAGTTCAACTTTTGATTTGAAACTGATTTGAAATTTGGCCAAACTTAACAGTTGTCAACAGTGCAAGCTCTTAAGGAGTCATAAAGAACTTCTTCGTTTAACAACTTACCTGCAAAGAGAACACAAGTCATTATCAAGACACAAAACAATGTACATTTAGTTTAGGCAATAAAAGTTTGAAGGAGGGGGGGAGAGGGGGAATGTTTCAACCTATGAACACTATTTTGTTTAGTTGACTTTCATCTTTTCTCCATTTGCGAGCTGGAACAATCTCGTAGATTTCCCTCACAGCCTGCAAATATCAAAAGGCAGAAAGATAATCCCATCAACCTTAATGACTGGCCAGATATTTTCTTCTGTGGATAGTCATCATTCAGAACAAACAGGCGAATCCAGCTGCCATGGTGTTTGGACAGTTGCGCAATTACATGCAGCCTGCATATGTACTAGAAATTTGATCCCTTGGCAATCAGGTTTGCCAAGCAAGCTAGTCAATTCATGTCAACATGGGCAGTTATGCTGGCAGAGATGAGCCAATTGTGTTAGCAAAGCTACAAGTTCCTAATCAGCATTGTGTATTTAATCAGTGTTTTAGCTAAATTTTAAGCTCTCTTTTACCATTTGCACCTCCAATGGCATTTATATCCTAGCCATTTTTTTAAATCAACGTTCCTCTTCTGCAGAAAGAGGTCATGAAAGCAAAAGCTGAAACCTTGTAACCAACATTAAAGTCTGCCTTCCAGCAAGTAAAGCATTTAGATTTGCATCTCATGCATTAAAGTGTACCTGCAAAGTATGAAGTTGATCAGAGTTTACTATGCTTAAAACCCCTTTGCAACGATAAACATCCATGCCATATTTTTTATCCCAAAGAATCTCCTCTAGCCACATCCGAACCTTGAGAAATGACAGGAGAAAATTGGTATCAAGGACCACCCTTTTGGAGGAAGATATGTAACCACAAGGTAAGCCAACTCTTTGTGCGATGTAAAAGCATGAAAAAGAAGGCATACCAATGAGTAATTAATACTCTGTATAAAGATGAAAAAGTCAAACGTTTTCAGAAATATTTCCTAATTTCAATCCCTACTGGATAAAGGGTTCTTTTAAACAGAAAAATAAAGAAAAGGATAGAACCATAATCAAATAACAGGAACGTGTGCGGACCTCATCAAGATCTACCAGTGACATTGACAGTGTTCTCAAATTGAATCTTTTTAAAGTACCTTGTCAAGATCTATTTTCTTTGGCTCACAGATGCACAAGGTTCTCACACCAGAATCATGAAGTTCTCTGGTAGTAAGGGATTTGTTTTGTTCAAGCAGTGCTTCCAAATGAGCAACATGCTGAAATTAAACGAATCAAACAGGCAGATAGCACCATCAAATCAGTAACTGCCTATTAAAGAGACTGATGATATAATAATAATAATTAAAAAAAAAGACTGAAAATGAAACTCAACTGAAGCATCATATGCCTGGCAGTCCAATATCTTGGATAATTCTACTTGACACCGTGTGGAACGAATGATACTGGCAAGGGAGTTGATATCACGTATCTCCTTCTCCAATTCCTCTAAAATATTTCCAGAATCATCTGCCATAACTTGATCGACTTTGTTAAGAATCACAACATCCTAACAAAAGCAACAGAAAGTAGAATCCTAAGTGCTATGATGCCATAATCCAAGCTAGACTAGTCACGAATATATGGAAATATGACTAAAAGAAAACATAAAACTTAACTTAGAAATGAAGAAGAAAATTTCCTCATATTGACATCAAATTATTTGAAGAAATTAAAGCGAAATCAATACCGCAAAAGCTATTTGTAAATATGCTTCAGGAAATGATGACGAATCACGATGCAAATTAAGCTGGTGACGAAGGTTTTTGGCATCAATAACCTATCAGAAAAGCAAATTGGTTATAACCGGAAAAAAAAAAAATCAATAATCCTTTGCTGGAATAGATCACCTCATAAGATGGAGGAGAACACGAGCAGAAAATGGCAAGCAATCAACTAGCATAAAATGTAAAAGTTTACTTTATTCAAATTCATTTGCTCTTGAAACTAGGACAGTCTGATAAGAAAGAAGAGCATGGCATCTATGTCTAGTTTATGTCTCTAGTGAAACTCTTATCATCGTATAAATCGAACTTGGCCCATGAAACTCACTGTGATGATAGAATCGAGCTTAACAGCTGACTCGAGCTGATCATCCAACCAAAGAACAGATGCAAGAGGAGCAGGGTTTGCCAGCCCTGTGGTTTCCAGTAATATATGGTCAAGTCTGCATATAACATGAAAATTTTTTTTCTGACCATTAACACCCAGGAGTATACTTCATATCAATAAATGGCAAAACAAGCACACACTACTGGATGCTCATTGAGTTGGCTCCAAACTACTAATAAAACAAATGAAAAAGTATGGCAAGAGAACATTTGCAGCATCTACCACCTCCAGTCACTAATGTTTTATGTTAATATTACGCATTATCCTTCTTTTTCCTGGTGTAGTCTTCTATAATTAAATTTCTCTGCATTACTCATTCAATGGAAATAACTGCCCCCCAGAACCTTAAGATCCTACCCTTTTAAACCTATCAGTTCTAGCAAAATATTCTGTACTATAATTCTGAACATTAAAAAGGAGTTGCATTAGCAATGATGAGTTGACAAGATTGTAAATGTGCATGTTTTCACGAAAGTAATCACCCATGCTTAGTATCAAAGACTACCCCGACCAAATGGAGTATTTGCATTGACCTTTCTTTTCTTTGAACAAGCTGCTCCAATGCTTGAACCAGACTGTGCTTAACAGTGCAACAAATGCAGCCATTATCCAGCTCCACCCACTCCTCCACTAGCCCACCTTCCTCTCCTTCATTAATCATTGCCCTTTCCACTCCGATTTCCTCCCCAAACTCGTTCAATATCACTGCTATCCTCTTTCCATGTTGGGTTTTCAATATATGATTCACCAACTGAAAAAATCAGCTCAAAAGAAAAATTCCGCAATGACATTTTATCAAACACTTGTATATCATACGACAAAAATAGAATAAATACTTGAGCAGGCAAGAGAGAAACGGAATTACTGTGGATTTTCCCGCACCCAGATAGCCAGTGATAACGGTGACGCCAACTGGAGGGAAAGTGTCGGACGGTTGCGAGATGACATGATCTACAGTGGCGGTGATCGCGACGGCGAGCGGTGGCTCGTCCTCGTCGTCTTCCATTTTCTGGGCTTTCCAACTGGGAGCTTGTTAGATGGCGAGAAGTTAACAAATGGGTGCTGGCCTTAGCGTTGGGCATGAAAAAGGGAGTCTGTTCAAATGGACAGATTGAAGCCCATTTCAAGATCACATATTGGGCTTGGATGTCTGTGAAAGGTTGGGTAAATTGACCGAGAGTATTGGACATGAACTCTCAATCGAAAGCAGCGTTTTGTACACCTAAGCATTTAGAGAGGGTTTGAATTGCTGTTTTTTTAGGGCTTTTATAAAAAAATATATATTATAATAATTTGATGTATGCGAGGTAAAATAGATAATTAAAAAATATATCTATGAAAAATATAAAAATAAGATCCACATTTTTCTATAAAACAAGGCTTAAATAATTTATTTGATATATAACAGCAGCTTGATCAAAACAAACTGCCTAAAAACCTAAGGTTGGAATCCACTTGATTAAACATTTGTCTTCTTATCACAAGTTTTTCAACATGATGGTTCCTTTTTTATGGAAAAACCTAAGGTTAATTAGTCAATTGTTTCTTCTTTTTTTTTATGGAAAATTAAAGGGCTACTCAATCGGAGTTGCCATTGTCCTTCGTATTATTATTGACAGCAAGGTAATACTTGTGCTAATTTTTTTTCTTTCTTTTTTTTTGCAAACTTGATTAGCATAAATGTGCATCTAGGAGAGCCTCCTGTCATTGCTTAAAAATATGTTTAAACATCTTATAGCTGTACCTTGCTAAGGTCTATCATACTCCTATGTGATGATTTTTCTACACCGGCTGTTACCTTAAAAAGGTTATGCTTTTCGTATGTTTTGTATTCCTTGCCGATGCTTCTATAAGTTGTTTTAATGTAGGTCATTTTGTTGGACTATATCTCCCTTTTAAGGTAGATAATCTACACAGCTAGTGCAAAAGACCAAAATAAAATATGTCTGATGCTGCTTTTGGTCTAATGACAACGTAAACTTTACTCAACCTCTGAACATGATGAGGTGTGTAGAAAACAAAATTGATGAAACAGTTTACTTTCAGGTCATGAACCCAACCCCTTCTCTCCCAGCAAAAAAGGGGGCGGATTAATCTTTTCTATACTGACAGTGTATACATTATCAACGTTGGATGAATGACAACTATACAAAATCTGAATTTAAAATTCAATTTTTGCATGCATGTCATGAATACACTATCAGTGTATATAAGATTTACTCGCTAAATAAGAACTTTTCCAACTTGGTTGAGCCGTTAATAAAT